CTACTGATGTGACTGCTCAATGGAGAGAAGGAAATTCAATTGTAGGAAGAACACATTACAGGTATTAATTTTATAACATTAACCTTTGCTGGTTTACCATACAATGTTTTTTGTAAATACTAGAAGGAAAATAAGAGGAAACTGTATCATAGAAAGTATTTCCACTTCAACTTGTTAAGAATAGAGAAATCTCACCCAGTCAGCATGGCTCAGTGGTTGAGCATCGACCTATGAACTTTACTGCAATATTAAAAATCTGTTTTTTACATTCAATAAAATCAATGTATTGTTAAGACATTTTTGAGCTTTTATTTTTATAAAACGTTTAATTATAACTGCATATTTTTTAAAGATTTTTAATAGATAGACTTAAGATTTAATTTAGAAAAATTATGATAATTTTATCATATGAAAGAATGCTATTTTCTATTAGATTTTGCTTTTTATTGAAATAAAAAATAAAAATAATTATTTTAAAATGCCTTTCTATAAAAATGATGTTAGGGGAAAAATTTTAACCAAAGATTCTTTTTTCTGTTAGGATTCCATTTCTTAGAGAAATCAAGAGGAAAAATTGTGATTAATCTCATTTTTAATTGAATTTTCACTGCATTCTTTTTTCTTTTTTTTATTTTATACTAGAGGCCTAGTGCACAAAATTTGTGCATGGGGGAGGGAGGTCCCTCAGCCCAGCCTGCACCCTCTTCAATCCGGGACCCCTTGGGGACATCCCTCTTGCAATCCGGGTCGGCAGGCTCCTAACCACTCACCTGCCTGCCTTCCTGATCGCCCCTAACCACTCTGCCTGCTGGCCTGATCACCCCTAAAGACCCTCCCCTGCCAGCCTGATCTCCCCTAACCGCCTCTGCCTCGGCCCCCGCCACCGTGGCTTTGTCCGGAAGGACATCCAGAAGGATGTCCGGAAGATGTCCAGTCTAATTAGCATATTACCCTTTTATTAGCACTTGGGTTGCGGGAAACGAGTTAAGTCGGCTCGCGTGAATTGCGCGTACTCCGCGGGAGCCGTCTTAAACTCGGTTCATATAGATTTGCGGTGGTGCGGGAAACGTGTAAACTCGGGCCGATTGTAACTGCGTATTACCAAATATTTCATTTCAATCGAACCCATACTTCAAAAGATATAGGCATTTTAACGCGCCATCTTATATTTTGGCGGGAAATTCACCCGCAACCCAAGTGTTAGTATAGATACACTTGGAAAGCAATATCATTGCATGAATCTTTTCAAAGTAATCATTCTTGAAAAGTAAATAGGGTTTTTTTTTTTTAATACATTTTTATTGATTGCAGAGAGGAAGGGAGAGGGAGAAAGAGAAGCATCAATGATGAGAGAGAATCATTTTTTGGCTGCCCCCTTCATGCCTCCTACTGGGGATCAAGCCCGCAACCCGGACTCGTGCCTTTGACTGGAATCGAACCCGGGACCCTTCAGTCCACAGGCCAATACTCTATCCACTGAGCCAAACTGGCTAGGGCTGTAAACAGGTTTTTCATATCATCGTTGATAATGATTATTTTTCTTTTCATCTCCTGGGTTCTATTGATCTAATCCCATTCAAGAGTTTATTATATATATAGTCCTAAATTTACAGCAGCTGAATTTGGGTGTTTGAAAGTCAATTAGAATTATGCATGTAAATCTAATATTTGATATTTTAAAAAGTAAATGTGTTATCAGTATTAGTGTAATAGTTCTACCCATAATATACAGAATTTTCAGGGAAAAGTCTTAAATATTCTCAGAGAAGTTATTATATACTGTTACTATAATGATAGCAAAGGATTTGAGCAAACAGCACTAATTCCCAAAAGAAAATCTTCCCTTCTGAAATTTTTACCTGACATCTTATATTATGATCAAATAGCAATGCTCTTTTCTCTTAGGATTTAAGAGAACCATCTATTCAAAGTTCACTACTGTGGCAGATTTTTAAAAACAAGTTATTCAAATTTTAGGCTCATGAAAAGTAGTATACCTAATTTATTTATCCAGAATTAATAAACTTTTGTCTTTTTTTATTAAATTTATCCATGTGACATTGGCTAATAAGATTATGTAGGTTTCAAGTACACATTTCTATAACACACGATCTGTATATTGCATTGTATGCCCACCATCCAAAGTCAAATCATCTTTATCACCATACATTTGACCCCCATTATTCTTTACTACCCTCTGGTAACCACCCTCTGGTAACCACCATATGTTGTCTGTGAGTTTTCATTTGTTTTTCTTGTTTGTTCATTTGTTGCTTTCAGTTTATATCCCACATATGAGTGAAATCATATGGTTTTTAAGTTTTTTGGTCTGGCTTATTTTGCTAAATTCATAAACTTTTATGGAATTGCAAGTTTTGAGTTGAATTGAGCTACAGGGGTTATATCTTAAATGTTTCAACACTTTCATCCTTGTTTGACCAAAAGTGAATCTGAAGTGATGGGTCACCTTGAAGAAATAAACGGAAAGCATTTCTGAGTACTATCAGGTTACTTGTAAATATGTGTAATATAGTTTGTTTAAATCTTTTCCTTTACAAAGAGCTTATGTCATTTACTTTTAGCCTCACAACAATTCTGAGGCAGAAGTAGAAAGGATATCATTAGTGTTCCAGGGTTAATCAGGCTCATGAATGCTGATTCTTATCAGCTCTTAGGCCCAAAAAATGTAATCCAGGATACCAAGTAACTCAGACAGGAACTAGAACTGCCAATCCACATGCTTGTATTGATTTGACCAGCACATTCTTTCCATATAGTCAAGCTACAGTTGATACCCAATTAAATATGGAATCAAAATATGGGATTTAACAATGTGCAGTACTTCTGTTATTGGGGAATTGGGGTATCCCCTTCCCCACTGGATGCTGGAGGTGGAGTCCTTACGATATCTCAAGAAAAAGAGTTTTCCGAGACTCGCACAGGAGGATGAGTGATTTTTATTTGCGTGGAATTGCATTCCTGGGTTCCCAAAGTCCCATTTCCCTTAGTCCAGTTATAGAAGAGGTGCAGCTGGGGTTTCAGTAGGGCTAAAAGCAAAGCCAGTATCCAGAGTTTCCATTCCATGTTATAGCCAGATCCACTTCAGCATCAGGCTAGTTACAGTTCATTAGTCCATTGTCTGTGAGGGTTCACAAGGCCATGGGCCATGTGGGCGAATGGAGGAAGCAGGAGTGAAAGCCCCACAAGCCAGGATCAACCAAGAGCACAAGAGGAACCAAGAGAGAGAACTTCTTCCTTCAGGGAATTAAGCATCCCCGATCTTCCTGTGCTTGCAGTGGCCACGCCCACTCTGGCCAATGACCTCTGTTCCCAGTGTGACAGTAAGCATCTTTGCTAATCCCCCAACTTTACTGGGCATGTGTCTATTCTTCCCTTTGCTGGACCCCTGAGAAGTGTAAAGTTGTAGCTTCATGGCGAAGCTGCCAAAATGACATGCCTAGAATATTTGTCCTTCCCTTTGCTCCTTTCCCATTATTAATAACTAAACTAATTACAGTGGTATCACTTCCAAACTCTATGTGTTTCAGAAGGGATAAGTGACTCATTATTCACCAGTGAATCATCAGTAACATAGTCTGTCTCAGCATATGAATACATGAATACGTGTAGGGCACACCGAACTTCTGAGTCAGCCTCATGAAGCCCTGTCACCTCTGGGCAGAGGAGCCGTGTGATTGAGTTGTAAGTGTATAGACTTTGCAGCCAAAATATCTCAGTTCAAATTCCAGCTTTACCTATTATTAGCTATCTGACATTGGGCAGGTTTCTTCTCTCTGTGCCTGGATTTCTTTATGTTTAAAATAAGGCAAATAGTAGTTTCTACTTCACCAGATTGCTATGAAGATTAAATGCATTAAAAGATGTATAGTCGCCCCAGCCGGTTTGGCTCAGTGGATAGAGTGTCAGCCTGTGGACTGAAGGGTCCCAGGTTCGATTCCAGTCAATGGCACATGCCCGGGTTGTGGGCTCCATCCCCAGTAGGGGGCGTGCAGGAGGCAGCCAATCAATGATTCGCTCTCATCATTTCTGTCTCTCTCCTCCCATCCTCTCTGAGATCAATAAAAAATTTATTTTTTTAAAAAAGATGTATAGTCTCTGGCACATAATAATCACTATAGAAGTCTTGTTAAAAATACTTAAATAGGTACTGCAACATCTCCCTCCCTTTCAGTTCTACTTTTTCTGTGCTTCCATTACTGTCTACTATTTCTCCATCATGTACCTCCCCACAAATACCTTATTGATATATTCTTTATATTAATATATTCAAGTAGGTTACAAGCCAGCCTGAGATCCATTCTGTCTCTTGAAGGAACTTTGCCTGTCTCTACTCATATCCATCATATGTTGATTTATGGTTTGAAATCTTCAGGCAACTTTAGTTTTCATTTCTAAGGAGGAATCTTACTTCTGCTCATCATGGCCTTTGCTTATCCCCAGAAGACTCCCTTCTAAATCCTGTAATTTCCATGTGCAGGCATTATAATATATATAGAAAGTTCTACTCATTTGATAACACAAAAACCAGATGCTAACTCGATATCAATATTCAATTCTAATATTTTCAGTAAGCATCTGTCACTTACAAAAAAGTTGAACTTATTTCCAAAGATCATGTTAGAATAAAATATGTCTAATCCTATTTTTTTAGAATTTCCAGATATTGCTACTATAAGAAGGTAGTGAGCTCATTACTTATCACAGTGAGTGCAAGCTTTTATAGGAACATTCAACTTGTAGATTTTATATAAAATGATTTAAAATTTCTGGTTGTTCTCTTTTTTCTTTGTGTCTTGTTTTGTTGTTACAGCTTCATCACTGGTCCAGCTGTAGTCCCAGGGTACTTCTCGGTTGATGTGAATAATGTGGTACTCGTTTTAAATGGAAGAGAAAAAGCAAAGGTCTTTTATGCCACCCAGTGGTTACTTTATGTACAAAATTTAGTACAAACTCAAAAACTCCAGCATGTTGCTGTTGTTTTGCTTGGAAATGAACATTGTAACAATGAATGGATCAACCAATTCCTCAAAAGAAATGGAGGCTTTGTGGAGCTGCTTTTCATCATATATGACAGCCCTTGGATTAATGATATGGATGTTTTTCAGTGGCCTTTAGGAGTAGCAACGTAAGTACAAAATATTAGGCATGTTTCTAGACTAAGACCTGAATTTCAGAACCAGGGCGATTGTGTTTTAGGTTTGCAATAAATATAGTTCTTTTGAGATCATTGAGGCCAGGTACAATCTTTCCCATGGGAAAAAATATGGTTTGGTCTCCTGCTTCAGCAACGATAATAATGTTTTTAAGAGTATTTTCACCTTTTATGAGGAAGGCAGATGAATTACATTTTTGTGTTTCAAAATCACAAGGCATGGGATGAATTTTTAAGTTTATCAACAGTTCCTTAAAGAGAGGTTTAGCAGAGGATGGCAGACAAACAGACCCCCTTAAAGCCATTATTGTAGAATCTCTATAATTAACAGTTTTTTAAAAAAAACCTACTTTTCTTTAAAGGTAATATTAAATCAGGAGCACACTGTACCTTTGGGCTTGGAAGCATTATACCAGTAATATGATCAGATCTGCCACTAAGACTGTTTGCACACATTTCTATTAAAAAGAAGAACTAATTAATAGCTAAGGTTTCTCAGTGTGTCATATATAAACTCTTTAAAATGGAAAACTTGCCCAGCCCATGTGGCTTAGGGTTGAGAGTTGTCCCATGAGCCAGGAGGTCACAGTTCGATTCCTGGTCAGGGCACATGAGCAGGTTGTTGGGTTGATCCCCAGTAGGAGGCATGCAGGAGGCAGCCAATCAGTGATTCTCATCATTAATGTTTCTATCCCTCTCGCCCTCTCCCTTTCTCTCTCTGAAATCAATTAAAAATAAAACAAAACATAAAAAACACTTATTTTTTTTATCTTTCTGTTAATAGAGGGGTTTTTTTATTAAAAGTAAGTTGGCTTTAAGATGAGTTGCTGCTTTACATAAACTTCCCAGTGACAGGGATTTTTGTCTTTTTTTTTTTTTTTTCACTACTTTATCTGCAGAGACTAAAACAGTGCCTGCACAAAGTAGGCACTTAGTAAATCATTGCTGAATGGATGAATTATGAAAAAGTTCACTAACATGATGTCTGAATCAAATATTTATTATACAAGATGTGGCCTTAGTCTGCTGCCTAGTTGGTACATGAATATCACCAGAGAAGCACATTAATAAGGCAGAATCCCTGGCTTACCACTACAGCATTCTGATTCAATAGATTTGGGGTAGGATCAGACAAAAAGGTTAAATTAAGTATAGCCAAGGGATGGATCTGAAAAATCTATCCCTTAAGTAGAGCCTATATTTATAAACTGTTTTGAAGCCAAAAAATATTACTTTTTCACAGTAATACTACCTAACTTATTAATACAGTATGGGATGGAATCTCTGTAATTCTGGTAATGTTGAACTAGCCCATATCTCTGTTTTAAATCAGTGGATCTCAACCAGGGGCAGTTTTACCCCCTACTCCCTACCCCAGGAGACATTTGACAATGTCTGGAAATCTTTTGGGTTGTTACAGGGGAGGGAAGAGAGGTGATACTGACATCTGGTGAACAGAGAGAGGCCAGGGATGTATCCTACAATGTAGAAGACAGCTTCCGCGACAAATACCTTAATTGTCTGGCCCCAAGTGGCGGAAATGCTGAGGTTGAGAAACCTGTTGTAGACTGTTATATAAAGCTTTGCTCTTACATGAAGGTTATATTTCAGGTACACAATTTGATTTCTGTTACTTCCAAATGCCCATAAAAATGGGCCAATTGCAATAGGTCTCTCCTGTATGGCGCACAAGTTTTTTTGTGTGTTTTTTGTTTTGTTTTGTTTTGTTTTGTTTTTAATCTACCTACAGCTTTCGAACTGGGAGCTCTTTGCTCTAGCAATATGTATGCTATCACTTGGCTAAAGCACTCATTAAATCATGATCATTATAAATATAAAAGATTATTTATACTTATAAGGTCTTGAATTCAACCTGCCTTACAGCTACAGATGTGTAATAGAAGTTGAAGAATATAAAAAACAAAGCCCTTTGGCCCACGGTCTCTATTGCAATTTTGTAAAAGATTTCATTGTGAGAATCTTTTTTTTTAAGTCAGTAGATTTAAGGACTTTTCAAAAGTAAGCATGGAAAATTAACTTGTGGGTTTAGAAAGGCATTCTAAATCTCTTCTTTCTATATCATGCTAAGATGTTGGGTTATGGGAATTGTGCCATTTCTGTTGTCATATATTGTTAACTCACATGTACTTGTTTTTATAGGTACAGGAATTTCCCTGTGGTGGAGGCAAGTTGGTCAATGCTGTATAATGAAAGGCCCTACTTATGTAATTTCCTAGGAACTATTTATGAAAATTCATCCAGACAAGCACTCATGAACATTTTGAAACAAGGTGGAATTGATAAGCTCTGTTGGGTCTCAGTAAGAGAACAGTAAGTTCTGTGTTTATTTGATTCATTCATGTTGTCTCCTGTCTGAGATTTGCTTTATGTGGCAACACAGGTTTTCCAAAGAGACAGTGTTAACTCCACTTATATTTGTTTTTTCCTAGGAGATAGATTGGTAATTGAAACTATGAAGAACTTGAGTTGTATACGTTTAAAACAGGGAGAATCTCTTACAGCTATAGTTCATCTTGAAGAAGAACACTAGCAACTGTCATATGCAATGTCAATTGTTTGGGTTTCCTCAATCATATTTGGTAGTCAGACTTGACACACAGGGAATAGGGAATGTGCCAATAAGGTCTTAGGTCATCCCTGAGGTGTTCTGCAGACCGGCTCAGTGTTCCAGTATTGGCCTGGAGCACTCCTCCCTCCTCAGGAACCTGACAGCACCCAAGGACTGTTCTTCAGATCCCCAGATCTAACACAGGACCTTGCATAGAGTAGGCCAGGATAAAGGGGCAGTGGATGGATGGATGTACACATTGATTTAATAGGATTGACTTTCTTCCATTGTTTTACCTGGTAATTGTGAAACAGGTGTTCTGGAGTGAAAGAAGACATTTTGGAATTACTCACTTTGTTTTTAAAAGATCAAATAGAGTTTTACGTGTATAAAGCAGAGTCACCAGAGAATGAATGTCCTTCTAGATCTAGAAATGCATTCATTGTAGCAGATACTCTCTTCTAGAAAGCATAACTCCTAATTCCATTATTTGTGTAACCATAATATATCCATTCAGTCAACAAGCATTTATCAAGCAACTGTTTTAGCCATGAGGGATACAGCAGTGAACAAAATAGTCATAAGTGCCCTCTTAGGACTTAGATGCTTATTGGAGGACACAAACCAGTAAAATATGTGTCAAAAGATGAGAAATGCCATGTTTAAAAACAAGTTGAGCAGAGAAGCAGTGTAGAGAGGAACAGGGATCAGGAGTGGAGAATTTGCTGGTTTAGAGTGGCCAAAGAAAGCACTAGCTAGAACAGTGATGGCGAACCTATGACACGTGTGTCAGAGGTGACACGCGAACTCATTTTTTTAGTTGGTTTTTCTTTGTTAAATGGCATTTAAATGTATAAAATAAATATCAAAAATATACATCTTGTTCTACTATGGTTGCAAATACCAAAAAATTTCTATATGTGACACGGCACCAGAGTTAAGTTGGGGTTTTTCAAAATGCTGACACGCCGAGTTCAAAAGGTTCGCCATCACTGAGCTAGAAGGTTACATTTAAGCTCAGCCATGAAGAAGGTGCAGGATGAGCCTTGTGTCTGTTTGGGAGAATAGTAGTTCAGGCCAAGGGAGGGCAAATGTGAAGGGCCTAAGGCGGAACCACGCTTACCATGGTTGAGGAACAAGGGACTGTGTGCCTGGAATGGAATGAGTGAGGGCAGTGTATAATGGCAAAGTTTATGGTGGGAATAAAATTATTCTTGTAATTCTTCTCAGACCATTGGGCCAGGAGGTCAAGTAGCTGTCCTCCTTGTTTCCCATGGCTGCTTCCAGACCGTTCTCCCCTTTCCCTTCTTAAAACCTGCAATTTTGAATCTCATGCCAGCAGACAAAACCATCCATTACTTTTACTCTTTGATGTCATATTCTGACCTTTGGGTTTATCTCCTTAATTCTTTGAAGTGTTTAGTTCCTGGCACACTCTCTCTGACATTACTCCAGTCTCACTTTTGGTGACTCCCAAATCTAAATAGATGGTCCTTCCATCACCTTGGTCTTGCAGTTCCTTTACCTCATCTCCTCCATGATCTGGTCTCCACGTGACCTCAGCCATTCACTATCAAGGTCCTTTCCTAGACCTTATCCTACACATCCTGCTTCTTCTCCATGGTCTCAAGTTCCAGCATCTCTCTCGGTAACTACCATATCCTGTCAGGCCAGCTCATTCTCTGTAATAATCTCCTACAGTTTAGCTGGGACTTACAACCCATTGTTCCTACTCCCTTTTCATTGTCCTTTGCTCACCTCATACCTTTACTTTCTTCTTTACCCCACTTAAATGTCATAGTCAATCATGGTTAGATGTTGACTATGATTGTTTCTTAATTTAGCAAACCTTAACTCTGGTTAAATCTAGCTCTCTTGCCTGCACCAAACCTATCCCCATGCTACCAAACACTTGGAGGAAGCTGCCAATCAATCTCACTTTTAATACATGCCCTTGACCCTCAAGTGTCCAACAATCATCCATTTCCCTTGTCTCAGTATTCTTCCACTCTCCAAGAGAATGTTTCATAACGTGTTCTCTCTTCCAAACTACACATACCTTCTGACCCCATTGCTCATTTTACTGAGAGCATAGGAATAGTCAGGAGAGAACATCTAGCTTTTGAACTGGCCTCTCAGCTTCTACCCTGGCCCCTGTGTAGTCCATTCTCAATACAACAGCCAGATTGATTCTGATACCACACAGGTCAGGTCAGTCACCCCTCTGATCCATACCTGCAAGACAGGATTCTCTGACCTCATCCTTCCCCCAGAGCCACTCTGCTTCAGCCACCCTGGCTTCCTTGTGTTCATTGAACATGCCACAAACACGATGTCTCGTGGCCTTTATACTTTCTTTGCACTCTGTTCTCCCCCAGATATTTGCATGTTTTGCTCCTTCACCTCCAGCTCTGCTCAGGTGCCCCTGTAATGAGACATGCTCCTGATCACCTATTTCAAATCACAACACTGCCCCCTCAGAAACCCCTCCCTCACTCTGCTTCATTTTTCCTCTTAGCACTTACTAGTAACACCTTCTAAATAGCTCACTGACTTGACTTGGTTGCTACCTGTCTCTATCACTAGATCTAGATTATAAGCTCCAAGGGGCAGGAATTAGGAGGGTGAGGTAGAGAGAGAAGAACTTGACAGTCATAAAATATTGGCTGAATTAACATTCATTCAGAAATTTTATGCTGACCACTGGATTTTAAAAATGTGTAGCTGTAAACTTTTCAAATTCTTAAATATTTTTAAGAAATCTATTTGGGCAAGATTTTATTTATCTTTTCTGCCTGTCATCTCTATAATAGTTTACCATTGCCTGTAACTGACATTAAAAGGTAAAATCACCCAGTTGGTGTGGCTGAGTGAACCTAGAGGTCACTGGTTCTATTCCAGATCAGGGCACATGCCCGGGTTGTGGGCTCGATCCCCAGTAGGGGTATGCAGGAGGCAGCCTATGGGTGATGTTTCTCTCTCATCGTTGTTTTTATCTCTGTATCCCTCTCTATAAAAATCAATAAAAACTTTTTTTTAAGTAAAACCTTTTTTTTTCCACAAAAGATATGCTTAGTAAAGTGAAAACTACAGCTGTTTTTCTGATTTTCCAGGTGGCAGCCTCAGGAAACAAATGAAAGCCTTAAGAATTATCAAGAAGCTTTGCTCCAGAGTGACCTCACATTGTGCCCAGTTGGAGTAAACACGGAATGTTATAGAATATATGAGGCCTGCTCCTATGGCTCCGTTCCTGTGGTGGAAGATGTCATGACAGCTGGCAGCTGTGGAAATACATCTGTTTCCCAGAATGCTCCTCTGCAGTTACTCAAGTCCATGGGCGCTCCCTTTATCTTTATTAAGAACTGGAAGGAACTTCCTGCTGTTCTAGAAAAAGAGAAAACTATGACTTTACAAGAAAAAATTCAAAGAAGAAAAATGTTACTTCACTGGTATCAACACTTCAAAACAGAGCTAAAAACAAAATTTACTAATATTTTAGAAAGTTCATTTTTAATAAATAATAAAGGTTAACTATTAATTATCTCTTTGAGCCAAGATCTGATTTTTTAAATGATTCCTAACATTGTGTGTGTGTATTCGTGTGACTGTGTGTTTATAAATGTTCTTCAAGGTGCCCTTGTACACCTTAGGTTATGTCTGTCACGCTTGACCAAGTGCTCCCTTGCTGGGCCACTCCGAAAATGAAGCTAAAACGTTATTCAGCTCACTTTTATAAAGATGAACGATTCAGTATTTCTTAACTCTTCTCACCCATTGAACCCACTCTAGGGAGCAGCATTGGGAAGTGGAAAGACTGGGCTTTGGAGTCAGACAGCCTGAGTTAAAACCTAGCCTCTGCACCTATCTGGGGACCTCGAGGAAGCCACCTAATTGCTCTGTGTCTTGATTCCTTTCAATGTAAAATGGAGATAATGGTACCTCGTAGGGTAAGTTGTAAATGTGAAATGAAATAATATATGAAGTACCCAGTATATACAGTAAACTCTAAATAAATAGTTATTTCTGATTGATTTTCTTATTCCTTACTAGTTGGGGTTAAATTTAAATATCACATGCTCTTTTACATATTTGGGAGTAATCATATGCCATGCTGGAAATGTATGTGGACAAATCTTGTGGAGTTAGACTTTTAGATGACTCAAGTTTTGTTGGATCGTGTTGAGGTGGGTGCCTGGATGCAGAAATGGGTCATAATCCATACAAAACATGGACTGGGACAGTCAGAACCAAAAAATTAGTGCCTGAACTCTACAGAAGTTGTTGCTGAAGGCCGGAGAAAGGCTGGTCAGCTCAGAAGAGCGCTTGATGCAGAGAATGCCGGACGCCCTTGGAGAACAGTGGCTTTGATTGAGGCTGACTAGTGGTCTTTATCTTCAGGTCCTTGGGCTCCCGAGTGGATGCAGGGGAACATGGGCTCAATCTGTTCATTTGCCTGCTTTTTATTTTTCCAGAAATGCTATGGCTTCATTTCTGTGAAACCAGGGGATTAACATCATTGCAAATGAGGCTGTTTTTGTCTCCTCATTATATGAATGGCCATAGACATTCAATAGGTATACATTCCCCCAGACTTTCATGGACCCAGAGCTTACACAGGGGACTCCACATCATCAGAAGGTCTGGCAGTCTGGATATGAAGAGCCTTACCTTAACATCATATTGAAGAATCGTGGTGCCCGCCACAACCCTATTCAATTCTGAGGGAACTGTCCCTGCTAAAAACACCACAGGAGGGAACCATTTTATTCTATGTGTCTCTCCTTTTTTGGACCAACTTCAGGTGACAGCTGTGGACACTTTATTCAGGGTACCCTGTCAGTAGGCTTCCTGATGACCCTGAACATTAGTATCAAAAAATAATAACTGAGGCAGATAGCTAGTTCAAGGCCTTTGTAAACTAGAAAACACTGAGAACCTGTGAGTCAGCTGCAGGAACAGAACCTGAAAGGATGCAATAATAGAAGCTACAAGGTGGAGTTGGGCTATGAGAGGAGCAAAGATGCTAAGAACAAGCTCAAGAAGAGAATCTGCCCAGAGCTGTTGGGATGGTTCCTATGGGTTTTCAGCTCCAACACCTGTGAACTTTGAGATGCTTTTTTATTCCCCTATCGTGTATCTTCAGAATTATCTCCTTTCTTGAGCCTTCACCCTCTTTGCTCCTGGTTACTTGAGCTGACTTCTGAACCGGAAGAGCCTACCCAACGCCACAGCCAAACGCTTCATCCCGAGTCCCCAGTTTGTCTTCCATGAACAGGAGCTGCCAGGCCCAAGGTTATAACACTTCTCCTGTGAGTAGGTCAAAGAAGTCTCTCTGCTTTTCACCAACAAGACTGGATCATCTTTCTCTTTATGTGGTACTTGCTGTTGCCCGTAATTCTTTCAAAGACTGCTTTCTGCATTGATGTATTTGTTGCCAGCAAAGCCTTCGGAATGTCAAGATTATGCATGTTAATCTATTTAACTAAAACTGCATTCATTACCTTCTTCCTCCAACACACACACAAACCTATTTGCTCTCAAACCTCCTCAATCTCAGTAAATGGTGTCACTAACCGTGCTGTTTCTCAAGCTGGAATCTGTGAATTCCTGTTTCTTCCATCCCACCCCTCCAAGTAATCACCAAGTTCTGTACTTTACTGCTCTCCAAATCCATATTTGGTTTAGGCAAATTTTCTAAATAAAATAATCTTTTTCAGGTAGCAAATTACTACAGAAATAATGTCATTGAAATTAATTCCACATTTAGGAAAATATGAAATATTGTTTAGAAAACCTACCTGTGAGATATATTACTAATCTATAAAGTAATTTGAGATTGAAAGCTATATGTGGCATACAAAACTTCTGAATTATCAAATTTAATATGGTATCAGTAATTTCTAACATAGTCCTTATCACAAAAAGCAAAAACAGATGTTAACTAGACTTATTGTGGTAATTTCCCAGTATATACAAATACCAAATTATTATGTTGAACACCTAAAACTAATGTAATGTTATGTCAGGTATGCCTCAATAAAAAGAATTATTTCTACTCTAAGTCCTCCATAAATATGGGACTACTTAAATGTCTGAGAATTAGTTTTCACAAACATCACAAATTATTGTTTAGTCATTAATTTCATTTGTTACCAAGAAAACAGTAATTAAAATACCATATGAAGGGCTATAGTTATTTTATTTAAGTCAATTAGACAAAAATGTATCTTTGAGTTCAATATACTCTAGTGGCAGAATTTTCTGTAGCAAAAATACAGGTGTTTTTAAAGTTACCAATTGAAAGAAAACTGTTCTTTCTTGTAACTGGCAATCTCTGTCCCTCGGAGCCCTGCGTCTATGCTAGAAGTGAAGCTGCTGTCACGGCGCCAGCACAGGGAAATTATGGTCTGGGCTCTTCAACTGTCAGGATGTATTATTGTTGAAGTCATTTTATTACAGTGATTGTTATGTGTCTTCTTTTACTGTTAGAACTTTTTCAAAAAAAGTAGCAAATGTTGTCTGTAGCTGAATATGCTATTTAAGGTGATGGCTCCTGCCATTCTGGTGAGCTACTCGGTGTTCCTGGGTCTCTCCCGTCCCGTCATTACACTTTTTTCTCTTGCTAATTTGCTTTTCTCTTGCTGATCTGTCTCATGATGATTTAATTATCAGTCCATTCAGAAAACCTTCAGGGGTAGAGGATAATTATCCTTCCTGGCACATTATCCTTGTGGGGTCCAGAACAAGTTGTCTTAAATACCTCAATCCCTCTTTATCTCTGACCCTCACCTGCATGGGGAGTCTGACTCTCATGTGTGTGGGGTTCCCATACATATGTATGTATGTATTAAATTTGGTTGTTTTCTATTGCCAATCTGTCTCAGATCTATTTGATAATTAGATCAGCCAGAAGACCTGAGGGTAAAGGAAACTTTGGTCCTCCCGCTATATGGTAAAATTTATCTAAGTACAGTGGAACCTCGGTTCTTAAACTTAATTTGGTCGGGAAGGCTGCCCGAAAACGGAAGCATTTTTTCCCATTAGAAATCATGTAAATTAAGTTAATCCATTCCAGACCCCCCAAACGATTCCCTGTTTTAACCTTTTGTCAGGGACTAGGACATGACTACCTGCTACAAACTGCTTTTAGTTAAAACGTTTTCATACCATTCTTTGTGGTTACTTTAGGTCTCTGAGTTTGCAAGGCCTCACATAGGCCTCCCCTGAACTTGTCACAGCATGTAGCCCCTTTTCATCTGCAGATGTTTCTTACATTGACAGGATTAAAAAATTGAGAATAGTTAGTATATAAGGAAAAGACATCGTCAAGGATAAATTATCAAATTATAACAACATTTTAAAACACTTTATCGAGGGGATTTCTGTCACACAGACTTAGGAGAAGAGAAGGAAAACAAGCCAAGTTGTCTATCAAGTACTTACCTATACTAATTTATCTGTAACTGGTAGATGAGAGATGGTAGGTAGATAGATAAAATACAAGGTGGGGCAAATGTAGGTTTACAGTTGTTGAGTACCTAAGAGTTTATTCTTGTATTATTTACAACTTTATGCTGTAAAGTAGAAATAAAGAAACAAAATTTTAATTGTAATATGCAGTGGAAGATGGGCATTTGCTGTGCAATTTCAGCTTTGTCCAGGAGAGGGAGCTGCGAAACCACAAATAGTGTCATGGTTTCCTGAGTTTTTGCTGGTTATTTCTCAACTGAGGAAAGGAGGATAATAGGGAACTGGGGGGGAAAGTGCTATTGAATTTTGGATAGAGAAGTCTTCTGAGTGAGCGATTGTCTCCCACACTGCAGCAAGAATCAGGACGAAACCTTTCATTCTTAAATGAACCAGTTAGAATCCAGAATGTGTTCATTGTTTAATGAAAGATGGGTTTGTGTTTTTAAAGTTTGCACAATCAGAAACCTAAAAAGTAGGTAATTTTTGGCAAAAGAGCAGTGTTCAAGTTTCTCAGTACTTCAATAGCTTTTAAATTCTTAATGACAAAAGACAAATGTGAGTACTTATATTTTATTAAATATAATACATTCATTAGTTTCCTCCTGTAAATTTCACTTACCGTTTCTGAAGTTGAATAAGTCCTGCTTAAATACCCAGCAAGGCCTGTGGAGACCCAATGCGCACATCCTGTGCAAGTGGGTCTGCCTGCTATATTGTTTCACATTACCCAGACAATTCAAGGAAGGGGAACGACAAACAGCCAGTAAACACATGTAAACACGTTCATCCTTGCTAGTAACCAGGGAAATGCAAATTAAAATAAAAAGGAGATACCAGTTTAGATTTATCATATTGGCAAAAATTTTAAAGTATTTAGGCACCTTCATGTACAATGGAAGAGTTGAAATTGTTACCACACATCGCAGAGCAATTTAGCACATAAAATGAAGTTAATGAGGCCTATACCCTGCAGTCCAGCAATTCCATTCCGCTTACATTGAAAACCTGACTGCACACTACACTCATTATCCCAATGCGTTATCAGCCCACCACCCTGTAAGAAACTCTCACCCATGTGCATA